TCCGCTGCGTCCAGCATGGCCTGCCATTGGGCAGATGTGATGTCCGCCATGCCGGAGGAAGGGGTGTTAGTAGATCTCTCAAGAGGGGTCCGCTCTCTCCTCACGTTTGGACGAACACTCCTCTTGCCCTTCCTCACACTCTCAAACAGAACACCTTCTCTCTCCCTTTTCTCTCTTCCCGCTGTCTGCGCACGTGTCTCAATACCGGACATAGATAGTCCAGACGAAAGAAACAATATGTGAATCACACAGAGTAGAAGGTAGAACTCCTAGCCGGAGCGGCGATTCATTTGGACTTGGAGAATGGCACGCAGCAGAATAAAGAAAAGAATAATAATAATAAAAATAAACGGAAGAGAGAACTGACTTATCGAACGGGAGATCCCCTCTTGTCTAACCTGACAGGGTACATGTACCACAATAAATCAGCCGAAGAAAACTAACTGCAGTCTGCAGCAATTGAGATTTTGAGGGGTGCAGACGGTCGCCAGGCCAGACGTGGGGCAGTACGTGCTAACATGCAGTAAGAGCAGTCAAGATCCCCTTGAAAGGAATGCCCTTGCTAGCCGTATGTCCCCCAAGTTCAGCACAACAAAGAGAAGCACTGGCGGCAACAGATTTGGGCCCAAAAGGTCCTGTCCCGTTGGGCCCGGGCCCACTGAGTCCCAAAAGGTCCCAAGTAGGTCGTGGACCAGGTCCAACGAGATAGGGGTATCAAGTCAGTCCCAAACTGCCTCTACCGTATTGAAAAGGAAAAGACAACTTTTAACAAGAACTCACCCCTACAGCCGTTCAGAAATGAAAAGACAATGCACCGTAGAAAGATATGTCATTTAGAACAGATACATCATCCATCCATCCATCAGGTGAGAAAGCAATCCACATGCTCACACACACAGCCAAGACCGCAGAGAAGAGGAAGAGAGCCCAGCACACCCCAACAGGCCATGAAGCACCAAGCAACCTCCCACGGGCTAACCAGGTCACACGACACTTACCTGTGAGGCCCGGCCTCCAAAGATGGATAACAACTCACCCACCTCTCTCATAAGTCCTCCTTACCCCTAGCAACCACTACACGAAGTGTCCTAGCATGACTAAGAGGGCCTTCCTACACCCCTGTTGCAAAGCCGGATCCCCCGTCGATGTTTGAAGACCGAAGTAGCAACTTGCAGCAATTCGATGCAGATATGGCAGCCTCTGATCAAGTCTCCCTCTTGAGGGGAAGCCCAAAAGTCACTCAATGTCTTCTTGAAGTGCAGATTCCAGGTGTGAGTACCTCTCACTCTCTACTCCCTCTCGCTTACTCCAATCAGCCTCCTTTGTGTCTCGCCACCCCATCCAATCACWCAAGCAACCTGGTYAGGTCTRATGTCGACCCTACATGACCTAACCAGGTGGGGGCAGTATCCACATACCTCACTGCCCCACTTAACCCTAACTTCCGACCCTAATCCGAGATTAGGTTAGCCCTAACCTAATTCGGAATTAGGTTTAGGGTGACTAACACCTCTCGCCAGCAAGTAAGTCCGCTCCGATACCAATTGTTACGATCCTGGTCATTTCCCAAGTGCAAATTCACAATGAAAGACAATGCCACCCAATTGCGAAAGAAATGAAAGCACTTGCAAAGAGATAGAGACCAGAGGAGAGAGAAAGAAGAAAAAGAAGAAGAAGAAGAAGAAGAAGAAGAAGAAGAAGAAGAAGAAGAAGAAGATATGCACCAGCAAGACCAATGACAATTCCCCCTTCTCTCTCTCCACTTTCCTCCTCCTCCTTCACTTCGCCAATCTTATTCTTCTCTCAATAGTAATAATAACAATGAATGGGTGAACCAGAATCAATATCCGAAGTTCCCTCTTACTGCTGACTCAACTCAACAACAACAACAACAACAATAAGTCCACCATAGCTATGGCTTCCCTCCTTCGGCTTCCTCTCTCATGCATAGGCTATGGCGGACTGCTGAGGGCCCTGCCCTCCTGTCCAAAGGACAACACAAAGCAGCTATGGTGCTGCGCTGATGTCCAAAGGACAACCCAAAGCAGCTATGCCGTTGCTGACTGGTCCGCCATGCCTGACTCTGCCTAGAGCTTCCTTGGTGCAGCACTACCCCAACTGGGGCCTTCCAGATGCAGCGCCCAACCAGGTGATGAAGATGGTGTCTGCCATAGCCAGGTAAGTGCCTCGCCGTTCTCCTCCTTCGCCCCCTTCTTCCTCCTCCTCAAGCTGGACTGCTCGCCATAGCCAGGCTGAGATCCAGCTGCCCTTCACCTCCAAGCAGCGCTGTAGCAGCCAGCGATGCGCTCCAGCAGCATGTCGCCAATCCTTGCATACCGCAAATGAGGAGGAGCTACTTGCTCCTCTGAAAGATATAGCGGCCTACTGGCCTCCTGGGCGGTGACTTCCTAGGTCGAGCGGCCTCCCAGCAACCGGTACCTCCTCGTTTTCGGAGGGAAACATCATTGTAGGCTCTGCTAACCTCCGGACAGGCCCTAGAACCGGGCTACTTGGACTGGTACCGGCCTACCTCTATCCTACCGTTACTGGGCCTCTAAAAATGCCAACTTTTTGTCTTCTTCTGCTCGGCCTCCAGTACCCGACACTCGTACCACTACTCGAGTGGTACCGGCCTACCTGCTACTCGAGTGTTTTCCCCCCTGCTCTAAGTGTCGCGGGCCTACCCCCGCTACTTGAGTGTTTACCCCCCTGCAACCCTCAAAGTCACGGCCACAGGTAAGTACCGGCCCGGCAGGGCCTTACAACCAACAAGTACCCTTGCGGGTCACACACACACTCAACCGGCAAGCACTCAGACAAGCATGCAAACCAGCAGGCACGCGCACACACAGACTTGGAAACCACAGCAGAATGCGGGAATCACAGCAAAGCATTCATTCCAGTGGCAAATCCCAGAAATCAGCAGTGTTCTCAGTCTGTGTTTTTGGCGGGTCATTACAAAGTAGCAGATTGTGAAAAAGAACAAAAAATAGCAGAAATTCGGATTTTTAACAGAGAAAAATGAGAAAATAATTCCGAAATGGCGTGTTTTACTAGCAAAATAAAATTCGGATTTTGTGAAAATGTAAAATTTCGAAATAAAGTGGCAAGGTAGGGGGAATTTGGAATTTCTACTTTTGCAAAAAGAACAATTTCCGCAATTTGAAGATGACCGCAGTCTGCCACAATTTCGTTCATCTGAAAAAGAAACGAATTTCCATAGATAGTTGCCGTTAACTGGACTTAGGTTCAGGCAAGCTCTTAACTTTGCGTGAGTAGCCCTAACTAGGTGCGGTTAGGTATGCGGCCCTAATCTTAGCTTGGTTGGTGCCAATCGCTAACCGTTAATTAGGATTGATTACCGCTTTAGGTTAGGTTGTTACTGACCTAATCAGCAGTAATTACTATTTACCAACAAAAGAAGAGGATGTCTTTGCTTTTTAATTGCGACTAGCCATAATTAGGTAATTACCTAGGAAGATTTTCATGCCAGGCCGGGCACCCGGGTGTGCCGAAATCCGGCATTAGCGCTAATTGCTAAATACCGATAATCTTCCGGATTAGCGCTCATCGCAGATTAGCACAAAAAACGGGATTAGCGCTAATTATCCATTGGTGCAGCTGTCCAGACAACTACAACTTAAGAAAAAAAATAAAATGCGGGGATTATCAATCAATCAATCAATCAATCAATCAATCGATTAATAAAAATTGCAACTTGATTGGGCAGATCCTCATCTGACAGGTCTGCTCCGATACCAAACTGTTGCATGCCAGAAGGCGCACACCAGCACCGAGAACCGACCTCTCAAAAAAGAAGCAATGATAGCACATCGGAAGACTGAAATTCCAACAATCAGACCCAATCAATGTCGTGACACAGACTGAACATCATCATCATCATCATCACACGGTGTGAGTAGCCTGGCGCTGAACACAGAGACACAGGGCACCAGGCACATGTCATACACAGATGAGGAGGAGGGGGGAGATGGAAAAGTGTCGTCAATCCAAAATGTCGTCGATACCGATCCAAAAATAGTCCCCCCACAATGTCTCTGCCCCAATGTCAAGTCTGAACCCAAATGTTGCCAAAGCCCAATGTCACAAACCTCTCTCTCTCTCTCTCTCTCTCTCTCTCTCTCTCTCTCTCTCTCTCTCTCTCTCTCTCTCTCTCTC